ACGGGGATAACTTATATCCTTAAAAAATGGAATCTATTTTGCAGCTAGCGAATATCTAATTTTATCTATGTTGAAAATGTCCCTCCATCATCAAATCAAATAATATGATCATATATGACGCCTCATTCCAAATCGTGAGACGATTGGGATTTTCTCCGACCTCTGGGAGCAAGCTTCGAAAGCTTCATTTCTAAAAAGCCATTCTGTTTGATAGCATCTAGCAAACTAATGTAGTATTGTTCTGTGTACATTTACAGACGGATATTCATTTATTTCTTTTATTTTTCGCGTAGCTTCTATGCGTAATTGTTATGATCCAGCAGTCTGTAAAGAGCAACATTTAAAAAAAAGAAAAGATGTAATAAGCAAAGAAAAATGAAAAAGCTCTCTCTACGACAGCAGCTATGCTGTAGGTTCTATTTTCGCAGCGTTACACAAATACATAAATCAGAGAGACTGTTGAATCCAACAAGAATAAAAACAAAGACTTACGTAACCTGAACCGCATAACGCACACAGAAAAAGCGTGATCGATGTTAAAGATAAATACATTGTAACAGAGTTACTGGGTCGATTTTTTGCGGTTCAAATCACCGTTTTGAATTCAAGGTTATTTTCTAATTCATTCCGGACACACCTTAATCTGACTATTGACATATACCATACCTATTTAACGATATGCATGTAGTTATGCATATACAATATTTTCAATAGGTATTTGTTTAGCGACAAAACATGAGACCACAGGCGTGTTTGACACTGTAATCGGTCTTAATAGCTGCTTTAACGTTTTTATTTTTTTCGTTGACAGGTAACAAACAATTACTTCAAAAGAGCATTATGCTGAAAAGGAATGACAAGTTCAGGCGAACACGTGAGGAGAATCGATTCTCTGATGAAGTTGCATGTGTTTTTTGTCAGGGCACCGCGGGTGCTACGAAGTTCGACACGATTAAGATGGGGGACAGCATCATGCAGAAGAAATCTGAGAACCAAAGCACGTTAGCGTATCAGTAGAAGAGAGCTTGACTGCTGACGGTAGATGAAAGCAGAGCTATCATAGACCTATAGTTGTAAGGGTCAGTCTTAGATCCTTTTTTTGGAATGGGTTGGACATGAGCAGATTTTCAGTTTTCTAGAAAAGTGCCGGATTCGTAAGAGAACTGTATGAGACGCGAAAGAACTGGAGCAAGCTCCGCCGCACGTCTCTTCAATACATCAGCAGGAATCAAGTCCGGACCTGAAGCTTTGTATAAGTATTACGGCCTTCCGCTGTTATTTAAAAAACATCTACAGGCAGTAGGGATGAAAGTACTAAATCAAGAAGTGCTAAGAGAAACACCACCAACTTTAAAATTGTATTTATTATATTATTTAATCTTGCAGCAGTAGGTATCTGTGGGGATTGTTAATCGTGATGCCCCTCCAGATTGATTTAGCTTTGAACTTCCCCTTCATACAACATTAAGATCCACCTCTACCATAAGTTCGACTCCATTATTCCTGAAGCACCTCACTTCTTCAGCGTACAACTTTCGTCCAGCAGAATGTTTTCTAATTGAATGTCAAACTTAAGGGAAAATTTTTATGTCAATTTTAAGAAGAAAGCTCCATATTAACGTATATCCTAAAAGTCTGAACTTTTGATACAGCGTGGTTAAGTTTATTAATATCTGTAAATACGAGCCACTTCCCACTTCAGTTAGCCCAGCTATTGAAATCTTAGTTTTTTTCTTATCAAACACAAATAATAAAAATGTAGCAGGGTGTTTAAAATATTAACAATGAATATTTTGATAATATTTTGATAATATATAGTAGAAAACACCAACTTTATCACTCCCTAATCAAATTTGCAGCATAAAAATAACACATGTTGCAATTACAGCATATCAACCTATTTTCATTTCAATGCAAAATAAGTCTATAACGCATGGGTGACTCTAAAAAATAAAAGCCATGACAATTGTTTTTATTAATCACAGCTGTCAGAATACGTTTAAAATAGTTTTGGGTAGTTAAGGTTTTCAGAATGGGTAGAGGAAAGGTTATTAGTTAGAAAATTCGGTTACTGATAATTAAATTTTTTAATTTTGGGATACCAAACTCACAAATTGCAACTTTGTTAGACTTATCGCGGTACAGTGTGAGTTATATTGTTAGAAGATATAACGTAACTGGTTCAGTTAATATTAAGCCACGATATGTGAAAAAAAGTAATATCACAAATGCCGACCGAAGAGCAATAAGAAGAATAATCGTGAAAAACAGGCGTGCCAATTATTTACAATTAAGTGGTCTGTGGAGTGGCGCTGTCCGAAGGAGAATTTCGAGGTCCACAATTCATATAGAGGCCCACAAACTGGGATCTAGCTCTTGCAAGGTAAGTTTTCTTACAAAAAAAAGTGAAGTAAAAACCCTAAAGTTGCACAACTTGTTTATAGGCCAAAGAAAAGCCACTATTAACTCCACTGCAAAAGAAAAATCGGCTTAGATGGGCTAAAGAACATAGACAATGGACACTTCAACAGTGGTGTGCAATACAATGGAGTGATGAGGCCCGATTCGAAGTTTGTGTTGGTGAAATTTCCAGCTTCCATTATGGTCTGGGGCAGTATGTCATCAAAAGAAGTAGGAAAACTTCAGTTTATTGATGGAAATGTGGATACAATCAAATATTTGGCAATTTTAGAAGAATCGCTTTTACCAGTGATGGAAGAATGTTTGACATCCGGCCAAGATTTTGTGTTTCAAAAAAGGCTATAAAATGGATGGAAGAAAATAATGTACCACTTTTGAAATGGGTTTCTAGCAGTCCAGATCTGTCAGCTATTGAAACTTTGTGGCACGAGATGAAAAAGGTGCTACGACCACATCCTGCTCGTACAATCACCGAACTGAGACAAAAGCTTCAAGAAATATGGGATTGCTTTACACCAAATTTTTGCCAAAACTTGGTTAACACTATGCCCCAAAGAATTTCAGCCGTAATAAAAAATAAAGGTGATGTTACCCAATGGTAATCTTTCAATTGTTGCTTTGTTAACTTCGCGCATTTATTCGCTGCTTTGTTAACTTCGCGCATTTATTCGCTCATCGTTTATTTGTTCAGATGTTCTATTAGTTATACGGCTAAGTGATTTCAAATATATATTTTTTACGACTAGAGTGTATCTAAAATGTTTTTGAGAAAATAAATTGTTTTAGAAGTAAATAGTTTCGTCATGTTTACGTATAGTTTATAAAGGCATATTTTGGTACAAATCTTGAAGTGGGCCAACTGAAGTGGGAAGGGACTCGTACCACTTTAGATACTTTAGTGAAAATTGGCATACACGTCATATGTCATATTTTTAAATACCCCCCAGTGAAGTTCGCATGGAATTTCACCTTCCTAGTTTTGCAGACATTGACGGTATGCTATTGACTTCTCTTAAAATAAAAATTATTTTTGAAATCTCCAATTATTTCTAAGCAAATCTGATCGCATGGTTTTTTAGGTAAAAACCGTGCGTAAAAAAATTAACTCTTAAATGAATATGAATTTTAATGTTTTGGTCATCAGAAAAGATAGTGCCGTGCCACTAGTTGAATATATACGATCATATTATGAAGTCTTCGCCCCCTAAATATTGACATTAAATTAGGAAAAATCCTGTGTAAGTGGAACTAGAACCTCCTAGTAACGGAAGAACAGGGTATTAAATATGAAATGACGATCTCTCTGTATATCCAAGTAAATGCTAATATAATCCTGGAAATTTCCAACAGATCCGTCTTCATAGCAATCAGCTTCTCTGATTCCCAAGAACAAGGGAAGTCCTATCGAATACAAACGATATACAGTTTCTATTCACGTGTAGTAGCCGAGTAGTCGCATTGAAAGGCGTCAGTTGCGGGCGTATATAATTTTTAGAACAATGCATTCTTATTCGAGCAGCAGCACACATCGAGCTGCAAAGCTATTCCAAGGCCGTGTGAAAAGTTGCATGCTACTTGCTGCTGCTGCACCCAATTCGTATTTATGTGTATCAAACGTGTGCAGTACAGCTCCATATACTCGTAGTGGATGGAGTGTTTCTCAAGTTTATATGTCGGAATCCAGGATAGTTGGATAGACTTCTGAGATTTCAGTAGAATGCATTCAAAATATGTATATTAGAAGTCTACTAAATTTATACGCTTTTTAATTTTCAATTATTTTTAATTCACTCGAACTTTCGTTTATTTATTATTACTCAGCTGATACATCTCATGGGCAAGAAAGTACCTATGTATAAGGCAAAATATTGACATATTTAATCTCCCTTAAATTAATTGAATGGCGTGAAGTATAAAACAAAGGTGACGCAGCACCTATGATTAGTTCCTGCCTGTAGCTAGAAAAATCAACCGAATGATAAAACTCAGGAATAATTTAAAATCTGTATATAATGTTCCTAGATCGGTCTAGTTTTATAAACGGGAACTCATAAAAAATAATAAAAGCAAGAATGGTCCGTATCAATTAAAATACATCATTTTAATTGTAAACTTAGCTGACCCGACATACTTTGTCCTGTCTTTGGGGCCGTATCGTCAGTCGTAAAATATATAACTTTATATGAACTATTTTTTTCGGTTTAAGAAAATCTACTATCCTGTATACATAAAGCACCAAATTAAAAAAAATAAAAACTATTGAAAATGTATATTTATAATGTATGTTAAGCGCATATCTCAAAAGTCTATTCAGCCTCCCTGGGTTCCAAGGTATGTATTCATGTCTTTACGTCTAAAGGACCTCTACTAATATTTATTTTATTCAATAGTCATATCAGTTAGGTATTCTCTTGGGGCAATCATCAGCTCCCACGTTGTCACCTATCCTCATCTGATTTACCACGCATGAGAGAGCTACAGTCTGTGCCAATGCCCTTGGATCTTCAGCTGAATAATTAAATACTGTTATCATATTTTTCCATCCTCAATTTATTCCCCGTTAATTAGAAACATTTGGACGCATCGTTAGAGCACTAAATACTCATAATCATACATCTTGCGTCAGCTGTTAGCTGGTGGGTTTGATTTGACATGACACTGACTTCAGTGATAAGCCTGAGTCAGTCCGAGTCTTTTGTGAACCTGTGATTAACCAAAACCGCACAGATAATGGAAGAACACCTAACGGTATGCGGCCTACCAGCCCGCGAAGAGCCCGTCATCAACCAAAATATCGATACTGGAATATTTATCCTTCTCAGAAGGAAATGCAAGGCATGGGTCATGCTCAGCCCTAATCATCCAAAAAGCAAGGTGTACTACAAATCATATGCTGAAAGAAGGAAAGAGATGACGCGGCATATGGTAAAGTACAACAATTTTATCATACATCCCTTCAGTCTTTTCATGATGTACTGGGAATACTTCATAAGGTAAAAACATAGTAAGTTCAATATAGCAAGCAATAGTAAATAGTAAACAATGTAGAGTGACGCATATAACGTAATTATGAGGGCATTTAAATAAGGTACCCTACTCTAAAAAAGTAAAAAAAAATGATAATAAAAACAAAACGGTATTAAAGAAAAAATTGGAGAAAATACGAGTCTTACTTGTAAAATTTATAAAATTGGAGAGATGTGAGTTTTGCTATGAAGACCATATCTTTTGGCTAAGGAGGGGATGTTAAGTAGAATGTGAATTTTGGAAACATTCGTTTATTTACCATTTAGTTGGAAAATGATGTTATTAGCAAAAATTGGAAAATGTCTAATGTCTTGAACAAATTTGGACTTGTTTTACGTTTCAGCCGGCGACAACCATTGGCAAGGTAAATCCCACGTCTATTATTTTTAAATAATGCACTCATAAACTGGTTATCTTGAAAGTGCCTTGTCTGTCATAAAATGAGTGTGGAATCAAGAGGCAATAAACATTCCTATTATGTAAAAATGTGGATTCATAAAAATTATTTAAGTACGTCTGAAGATTATTTCCTCTATATTATACAAAAGCCACACAGCCACAAATTTTTTTAGTAACACGGCACCCTGAAAAATATTTGATTTTGACACACAAATAAGAAGTTGGAAGACAGACATAGACCACAACCAAGACGGGAGTAAAGAGGGAAATTATCCAACAGAATACCTCCATTGCACACTATTTTAGAATGCATTCCTTAAAAAACGTTCAATTTATCGATGCTGTGCTAACCCTGAAGAGCAGAGATTGCTGCAGATTTACCATTCTGACTCTTTCGAGAGTAATGACATGGCCAGGGCAGTGTCTGTTCAAAAGAACAAATGTTAAAATGAAAAATCAGAAAATGCTAAATGAGCTTCACCAATTTCTGTTATTCCCTTCATAGTAAACATATCCAGTTCTTTCGCGACAGGACAGCGATTGCTTCCGGTTTAGGGGAGAAGAGATTGATAGCGAATGCCTCACTGACTAAAGACCTGAAAGTGTTCACTGTTTGGAGATGCAGTAATTTAGTGCATTTGATAGTATCTGTAGTATAGCACGAAAACTCATTGTTCAACTATGTTGTTTACACAAATGAAAATATATTTTCAAAACAAAATCTACAAAATCTATGACAACTATTTTAAATAAAAACCAATATGCCAATATGCGAAGTCTATGTTGGTAGAACTGCAGTGGTTGAACGTAAAAAAAATATATGTTATTTAGTTCTCATTTCCATATTCAAATTATCATTTATTACCACCACATTTTGAAAAATTTACAAAATTATCTAGTCATTATCATAACTATGAAACACGAAGCAGTATACATTTACATCTGCAAAATTGTCACTAAATTAGCAAATCTGTATTTCAAAAGTATTTGAATTTAATGAATTGAATAAGCAACAGTGTTCGAATTTAAGCATGTTTAAGGTGAAATTAAAAAATCACTTTATAAATAACTAAAATGCATAGCGATGTTATTTTAATACAGAAGAAAGAATGTATGATTACAAAATAAATCTTCAACAAACAAACAATCGCAGCAGAAGATCTGACCATCTAACCGCCTCAAATTAAAGCAGTCTTGAATACTGCTCACACGTATAGAGTGCTTTTGCAGCGTCTGTGTTGTCCACACTTGACCTGGCTCACAGCATGACTTTCTCAACAGTCACGGTACCAAATAATTATGTGGTGTGTTTATGGCTCTTCCAGATAGAAAGACAATCAATATTACTAGTTTGGCACCGACAATAGTCTGTGTGTCATTCCATTGTCTGGCCGCTAATTCAAACCACATATTGTTTTAATTACTGTTTATTGTACGACGTGTTGGCCACCACGGGGTCTTTTTTCCAGTATAACGACAATACATTTTGTTTATCTATATCTTGACATCAATTGTGATTGTACTTACTTGAAAAAGGCCCCGTGTCAAAATAAGCCGTAATTAAAACATAAATATATATATATAATATATATAATGGAGTCCTATCCACATGAAAGCAGCATGATGAGTTTCTGGTGTTAACCTGTCTATGTGTTTTGAAATGTATTTTTAATAAACCATTAAACACAGATATTTTCCTTGTTGCTCAGCATCCTGGAGATCGTATCTATGTTCATCTTCTGCGTGAGCAACGCCTACAGCTGGGCTGTAATGACCGACAACGGTTCCTTCCTCCTCCGCCGGTATGTGGACGTCTTCACCACCATCGATGTAATCCTGCGGCTGTTCTTCGTGGGCTACTACGATTCGGTGATGAACAAATCGGTGCTGAGAAGATGGGCGATCATTAAGCACTACTCCTTCACGTTGTTCATACCGGACATGCTGTCAAGTGTCAACAGTCATTTCTACGCTTTGTACGAATTGGATGACAACGAAACTAATGGCACGATTCTACGGTGGAGCAGGCTACTGGTACTCACAAGGTATTCATTCAGCTCTAGTAATTGTAGTAGCGCTACTTGTATCAATATACTTCTTGAAACACGAGGAACAAAGACCATCAGTTAGTTCCAACGAGGAGTTTTTGACTATCTGTGACTTTTAAATACAGTCAACCAAACAAAGATGTGAATCTGCTTAGCTACGTATTGGCCCATAGTAAATGATCACTCGGGACTGCCAGAAATCAGTATTGGAAAGACCACTTCCTTTTACTTCCCACGCCACACTGGCGATGAAATACTGTAATTGCAAAAAATTTCGAAAACGAGATATGTTTTTTGATGTTTTTATGAAAATATGTACAATAGCGGACAGAAGTCTGGAAACATTCTTAGTAATTTTTTAAAAGTGCGTTGATTTTTCATTCTTTATTATTAAGGACTATTTTTTTTGTCATATAGTTTGCTTACAGTCTTGAGGATACAAGTGACAATTTGTTTGCTGTGGTACTAGACTAGCACTCAAATACCTTCATATTATTCTATGACCAAAAATTAGATGACAAAAGTATGGAAACATATTTTTTATTACAAAATTAAATACAATAACTCTACAAAAAACAGTCAAAAAATACTGTTTAGCTAATATTTGATAGCATAGCCTTTAGTATTCAACACTGCCTGACACCTGCTGCTCATAGAAGACACCAATTTTTTACACACGTCTGTTGGGATATTTTGCCAAATATTTTTTACATAAATAAGTTTTTCTTGTCAGTTTTCTTTTAACATGCTCCCAGGGTTTAGGTCCGAGGATTGGGAAGGCCATGTAAGAACATTGAAATTGTTTAGTCTTAACCAGTCCTTTACGAATTTTGAGGTATGCTTGGGGTCATTATCTTGCTGGAATGTCCATCGTAAAGGCATTTCTTCTCCAGCAAAAGGGAGCATGTGTTTACTAGGCATATCTTTGTAAAGTGTTTGATCCATTTTCCCAACAATTTTAATAATTGGACCCGTTCCAGAACTAGAAAAACAGCCCCAAACCATGATGTCGTCTCCACCGTGCTTAACTTTGGCAACTGATACTTTTTGTCGAATCTTTTTCGTATTGGACTTCTCACATATGCCGTAGCGTCGATCCAAACAAGGTAAATTTGGATTCATCGATCAATAAAACTGTATTCCATTGTTGTGTTGTCCAAGTTAGATGAGTTTTACGCAATTCAAGCCGAGCAATACGATTTTTTTTGAAATGAGAAGCTTTTGCACTGGACGCCTTCCAAAAAGCCCAAAATCCACCAAGCGTGTAAGCGTCTTTGCAGTGTTCTCACAGAAAGATTCTCAGCACCCTCTTCTACGATTCTTTTGAGTCTGGGTGGCATTCGAGGATCTTCATGCGACAAACGTTTAAAGTAGCGATATTTGCTAATATTTTTTGAAATCGTCCCTTTGTTCGTTTATAATCTTTGAAAAATGTCGACACTTCTGACACCACTTCTAAATAATTTAATTACTCTGTCTCTTAAATCTTTTGAAAATCATTTTACTTTTGCCATTCTCACTAATGTTAATATTTACGGCACGCAATATCAGAGTATCGCAGAACGAATAAATAAGGCAAAACTGAATTGTTTCCATACTTTTGTCGTTACAAAAACTGTGGTATTTAAAAAAACGCGTGTTTTTAGTTTCAGATAATCTGAATATTGATAAAATAAACCTTGTATTAGTACCAGAGCTATAAAATTAGACTTTAATAGTTATATTATCTGTTCCTTTACAAATTTCGGTATATGAAATAGTTGATAATAATGTTAATATTTATTTCCAAACATTCACGTAAAAACCATGTCGTTTATTTCCGTCGTTCTGTTTGTTAGTCTGTCGGTCGGTCTGCTAATCCGTGGTCCGACTATAACTGGAATAGTACTGCTCGAATTTAAATCAAATGTTTAGGCTTTGTAGTCTTAGAAAATCGGTCCGGGCGGCAGAGAAAAAGACCAAAAACAAAAAAATAAAAATCGCTTAAGCTTCGTTTTTTAACGTTTCAGAGGTGCCTGACCATTTTTAGGAAAAAAATTGTAAGAACTGACAATTGTGGGTTGGGGTTGTATGGGGTATGACGATCTGTTATTAAGAATCTTCTGATACCGGTAATACTGAAAATTAAAATGACAAAAATCCGACAGTTTAAAATAATGGACGACCGATTCTTCTAAGCGAGATCGATGGCACACCAGCAGGCAAATTGTTTCCACGCCGTGAATAATAAACTCTTTATAAGAGAGTAAGTACTATACTAAGTGACATATAAATCCGAACACCCAGTTTAAATGGTTTTATTTTAATAAAATTTTGTATAAGCACTTAATGAAGCATAATAAGTAAATGATAAAAATTTCAAAATGATTGCACTGCTTTAAAGCCCTTTGACCTTTAGTAATGTGTGGATGCACCCTGAAGTGCTACGCATTCTCCTACGCGCCTAGGCATGCTTCTGATCAGGTGGTCAATATCCTCCTGTGGTATCTCATTCCAGGCAACCACCAACTCCTCTCGAAGTGCATCTAGAGTCTGAGGAGGACGTTGCAAATTGAGCAATCTCCTACCCATCATATCCTACACGTGCTCAATTGGGAATAAGTCGGGAGATCTTGGTGGCCATGGTAACAATGTGACATCATTATGTTGAAAGAAGTCTATTGTGACTCTTGCAACATGTGGTCGGGCATTATCTTGTTGGAAAGTTGGATCTGCCAGGGTGTCAAGATAGGGTAAAAGATGGGGTTCTAGAACTTCGTCGATATAACGCTGCGCGTTCGTGTTACCTCTGATGAAGATTAAAGGTGACCTGGAACCATAAGTTATAGCACCCCAAACCATAACTCCAACAGTGTGATGAACATGTCTTTCAACAAAAAACTGTGGATTCCTCCTTTCACCACGTCGCCTTCTAACCCTGGCACGACCATCGTGCATGCCTAAACAAAATCGAGACTCGTCACTAAAGACAATACTGTTCCATTCCTGATCCCAGAATGACCGTTGTCTGCACCACTCAAGGCGATTACGTCGGTGTTCTCGAGTTAAAGGGAGGACCCAGTGTAGCCGGTATGAAAACAAGCCAAAACTTCTTATTCGTCGGTAAACACTTCGCATGCCAATAGGTCTTCCGTGTTCTGCAAATCATTCATTTGCAATGGACCTGGTAGTGGAGAAACGGTCCCTTAAGGCCAATAATCTTAGGCGGCGATCTTCACGGTCTGTTGTTCTACGGCGGCGTCCAGTGCCCCTTGCTCTTTGCGTACGGCCTTCTCGAAGCCATGCCTGACAACACCTAACCACAGTGTCTACACTTCTTTGCACTCTAACTGCAATTGCCCGAAAAGAAAGTCCAGCTTCCCGAAGTCCTAATATACGGCCCCTATCAAACTCACTGAGTTGTCGAAATCGTACAGGTCTCCGTACTCTAGGCATCGTAACCGATCGTAAAGGATGTCAAGAACCAAAATCCGCCAACGTTGATTCTTTACTGTGGCTGAAATATTCATTTTTAGAGCGTTAGTGAATTAAAAAAAAGCAGTATAGAAACCGGAATGTCCAACTGATAAGGCTGAAAATGTTTTCACTTGTTATTTACAGTAAGATAAATACATTCACCAACTTTTATTAAAATAAAACCATTTAAACTGGGTGTTCGGATTTATATGTCACTTAGTATATTTGCATGTTATAAACATGTATCGCTTCGGGTACAGCAAAAGAGTGGAATTGAGCGTGAAACTAAAGTAGTCGATAAGGCTATGGGGAAATATGTTTATGTGAATGATAATTTGATAAGTTTCATACATATCATGTCTTGTTCTGAATGCTATGAGCCATGAGTGTACCCATTTCGTCAAACCTTTAATTTCTGTGTGATGTTGAATATAAGTAGGTGAAAACTTCCCACAACGGATTTATCGGAAACCAATGATTAAAAGAAAAATCGCCGAGACACGTCAAAAGATTTGTCAAGGGGGACAACTTTTCAACCAAAATTTACTTCACCCCCTTTCACCCTCTGCCCTCCAGGGTCATTCCCTTAAAGCTTTTAAATGACAAGGGGTATCAAGTAATAACTTGTTTGAAAGGTCTTTCGAAGTCTTTTATTTTGACGTTTGATTTTTTTAAATCGGTCGATTCAACTACAAGAAAATTAGAAAAATCCAAAATATCACTATTTATGTCAATAAGTGTTCAAGATGTTGTCCGTTATGGTTTGCCAAATCTACAATTCGTTTATAATTTAAAACGGAAACTACCAACATAAACAGCAATTCGGAAGATTAGACGTTGCAACAACAAAATAACAACCAGAATTTTTTCCGCATTCTTTTGATCAACACAAATATCCTGGGCGGACTGTATTCTTTTAAGGTTTTCGATAAATCCGCGGTGGGAAGTCCTCAACCCTGTATAGACTCTCTCGGGCGTAACAACGAAAAGGAAAAGCCGTCAGGTAGATTGAAAAATGTCAGTGACGGACCTCTTAACCACCGCACTATCAAGTTTACCATGGGTGCTGGAACCAGTAAATAAAGCTTCTCCAGTAGTTAACACCGGTTCATGTACTGGAGAAACCATTTTTTTCTCTGCTTCCAATTGGATTAACATTGATTCAGCTACTGGTGCAATCAAGAGCAGATTCGCGACTCGGCAACTGAACACCTTGTAATTTGACATTTTAAGACGATCACTCAGTTTCTCTATTCTAAACGGTTTTCTAGTGACTTATGCAACCGGGAAAACAATTATTGAATACGGTTAGATGTTCAATCAACAATGTATTAATTTTTTCCAAAACGGAATCGTGTTTGAAGTTGCTCCAAAATAGATCATAGGACGTCACAAAATTACTTGTACACTGCTTAAATCATATATGCGCTGGTCTGCAATGCTGTAATAATTAATGTTCTTAGGTTCTTCCGGATACCCATCTGGTTCGAAACTTTGGAATGTATCAAGAAAAGGATCGGTCTCAGTGTTGTTGTGTCTTTCTGCCTGAGGATGTTGTTATTGATTTCGATTGTCTTATGCACTTGTTACACTTTGGGACTAGTATTCGAGAACGCCATAGAGGCTACTTACAGCACAGAGGAAGCGAAGTGGCAGTATTTCAACATTACCAGGTTCTTTGGAGTAACTGCGAAGGTGATGCTGGTATACATAAAGGATATATTCGACTATGAGTTGATCGCAGGTAGAGATGATACGATTTTTCAGTCCAGTATATTAAGAAGCTGTTATAAACATGGCTACACACCGCGTCATGCACAAAGTAGAAGGCTTATGAATAGTAACTGCGTTTTTTATTTTAGGCGAGATTATCTCAGTATGGTGCATGGTAACAGGCTTCATTATAAACGTCCTTTTTCTGGCAACCTTGATGCAAGCGATCTCCCGCTACCTCGCCATAACCAAAAACAGCGAAAGACTGCTGAGCGAATCCCATCAGTATCTGATCCACCATCAAATACCCAGCAATATCAGACACAGATTCTCAGACTATTTCCTCTTCAAGTTCCAAAATCGCTTCTATAGAGAGGAAAAGATCCACAAGATGCTGTCGCATGTCCTCAATGACCAGATCATGATCTCCATCACCAAAGAACACGTGGAAAGAGTTGAATTCTTTAAGGATCTGCATGAAGACGTGCTCGTGAGTTTGGTGAGGAAACTCAAGTTGGAAATATTCTTGACCGGAGATATAATCGTAAAGTCGGGTGATATGGGTGAGTAAAATACTTGGAAAAACATTGTCAATATTTTGTTTGCTGATATTTCGGTCATAATGATGTCACGAAAGCCTAGGTCTAGGATGTAACTAAGTGAGGGTAATGCAAGAATGATGGACAGTCCTAGAAGCAACCTTATATATTAAGAATCATATTTGAATTTTGAAATTTGGAAAAAGTGGATTTGAACATTTGGAAAATAATTGGAAAGTTCGGAAATTTGAAAAGTAAACGAAGGTTTGAAAGAATGGGAAAATGGATAAATTTTAGATATTTTGAAATTTGAAAAAAAATTAAAGTAAAAGATTTATTGTAGAATATAAAATAAATAAAAAACCGAAGCTGTTGATTATAAGTACTTTTGTGGTCGGTTTGAGACTAAAAATTCGGAAAATAAGAAATAAAAAGTAAAAAATAATTTTCAAGCAAAGTTTGTGATACTAAAAGCGTGTGGTCCAAGTTTGCAAACAGCAACTAAAAAAAAAATTCTAACATTTAATATCAAGCACCCCAGGCTGTGTTGCTATAATTGAATTTTTTTCTAATATCTCAATTTCTATATTGATCTTATTTTACTTTCACTTTCACTAACACTCCTATACTTGAAAATTATTCTCTATTTCTTGTTTGTTTTGTTAAGAAGTTAGTTTTTTAAACCCTAATTTATCAATTTACTCGTTAATATTTATTTTACTTCCCACACCTACTGGCGAGGAAGATTTTTGTAATCGCGCAAATTTTCTAAAATGAGAGATTATGTTTTATGGATTTTATATGATACGTACATCACGGAAAACCATGTCACTCATTTCCGTCTGTCTGTGTCTGTCTGTCGGTCTGTCCGCTAATCTCATAGCCGTCTATAACTAGAGAAGTACCACTCGGATTTCAATGAAATTTTTACATAATGCTACTACGATGCCAGAAACGCGGAAGCGTTGTAGTTTTTAAAAATCGGTCCAGAGGCGGCAGACAAAAAAGCCTGAAATGAAAAAAGTGAAAATCGTTCAAACTTCGTCTTTTGACGTTTCATAGGCTTTTGATCATTTCTGAAATTATAGGATATAAAACTTGAGGGAGGTTTTTTTATGCTGGTGCATTTCTACGCTCCCAACAATGGTGATTCTGTGCACCTGAATAACATTCTCGGGAGACAAATCGCGTGCCTATCGGCCGCGGCAGTTGTTCGTGTCGTGCGCCGGCCGTGATGACTGTTCTGGTATGGAATCACAGGTATTTCTGCCACGAAACAACATAGTGTTTTCTATGCTCTGACCGCTCAACCACAGTGCCACGTCTGCCCAAGAGAGACATCGGGGGGAGGTGACGTTTCCAGATGCACCACCGGTAGGGCAGGGAAAGAATGTCTATGGACTAATTGTGTGGACATGTTTAACTGACCTTTTTCGCAGAGGGCTTAGTTCATGATGAATATATTCCTCTATGTACTGATAAGGGCGTTGTGTGGGAAGTACAGAATCAACCTACTTGACGCCATTTTAATTTAGTTATATTATTTACAAAGTAGATATACTTGTTTCCCACTGGTCGAATTTACGACTAGGTCACAAGCTCTTCTTTTGACTGGTCGAGTTTGTGCCCTAGTGGCAAATGTTGTGCCCGGGATCTAACCAGGTGGTTTATGAAGTATTTCTTGATTTAATATGAGCATTATGGCTCCATCTTACACAAATCTTATTATATGTATCTAGTTTAAGTTTGTGAGATATTTTAGAAGAAATCGACCATTAGATTCACTACTTCAAAAATGGCTTTCTAATTGGTTATAGTTTACGCTATAGTCGCAAATTTTGATTCGCGGAGGTGAATAAAATCGTACCTTATTACCTTCTCATATATTTTTAAATCGTGATTTGACTATTTCACAGTGACAGTGACAGATTCCCTGTGTTGGTGCCATTCCACTACAACAGAAGACCGCACCCGGTGGCCGAATCATTAGGCATACCACTCATGCACAAAATCTGTTGCTGTCGCTGTGAAATAATCCAATTCAAATTAAAAAGACGTTAAGAATCAGAAAGCGATACAGCACTTTTTAAATTTTACAGTGAAAGTGTGACAGAGACAAATTTTCTGCATGAGTGGCAAACCACTAGTCTCGTAATTTTATATAAAGGGACACTACGCTCAAGGGATGATATCTACACAATTGACTTTACATTGTCTTGCAAATTCTGTTAGGGCGACTCTGGATAAGGACATTATGAAACTACAACACTCAAACTATCAAAAGTTTTAAATTATGTTTCAGGGGACGTAATGTATTTCATAAACTACGGCACAGTAGCAATCTACACAGCAGCTGGCAAAGAGCTCTGTCATTTGGAAGATGGTGCTCATTTCGGCGAGATTGCTTTGATCTTTGAAGGACCCAGAGTAGCTACAGTTTCAGCAGTGACGCCCTGCGAGCTGTTTGTGTTGAGCAGAAAGGATTATACTGAATCGTTGGAGCCCTACCCCGCGATCAAGGCGAAGATTGAGGATATAGCTAGGAAGCGAATGGGACAGAAGTAGAGCTTTATCTCCTTTTTATATTATGGTATTGTATATTGTTCGCGCTGACTTATATTTTATTAGACAGGTATTACAAATAACAAACATTGTTTAAAAAACATGTGATTTTAAATGCCAAGCTTTTATTCATGGTTACCCTTATGATGCCAAGATAACTAGTTCTTGGTAAATCCAAAGAGACATCACACCGTTGTCAAGGTACGGTTACTGCCCGGAATTTCGAGCCCAGGTGGATCCTGAATACTCATATTTGTTCAGTATTTATATTAAACTAGATGTTTCCCGCGACTACGTACGAGTAAAATTGTTAGTACCTAACATGAAAGTATAGCTATAACTTCCGCACGGGTATTACGTATCTTGAAAAGTGACATGGCGTTTTCTTTTACATTGCATAGGTTTTCTGTGACATTATGTAGGTTTTTCTACAAGATGTTAACTTAGCACGTAGCTGATGGACAAGCTGTGAACTCATTTTGTAGTTGCACGTGTTGCCTAAACATCATGAGGCTTCAGTTATCAATGTTTGGCTTTTTGAAAACCAACCAACAAAGCATGGCGGGGAACTGACTTGCAGCTTGCAGCGTGGTCATTGAGCGTGTCGTGTCGTTGAGTCATTCCTCCATAGCTGGACGCTCACAGCGCTCATAGCGAGTAAACGCGAAATGTACACACCAGGAACTAACTAGGCAGCAAGTTGACACTTTGCCGCTTTTTTTTGACGTTTCTTAGATCTTTTACGTAATAACCCTGCCGCCGTAATTTGACTCACTAATGACAGTAATGACAGGTTGCTTATTTTTTCATGCAAAAGTTTCGTTAAAATTTCTGTCCAGACCGAACAAGAAATGAATAGGTTTAGAATCACAGAATCACAGAAGGGAAATAAAAAGCAACCGAATTCCGGCAATAGACCTGAAAAAGACAAAAATAACGTTAGAATTAAGACCTCACTTATTCTACCGGAGCTTTCTGATTTCGATACGGGATAACGGAGGATTGTCTCGCTACTACGCAAAATCAAAATAAGTAGCAAAACAAGAGCACTAAAAACGCTGAACTGTCAAAAAACGGAGAACCTGAAGTGTTGTTTAACTATTGATACAAAGCACAGAGGTATGTTCTATATTTACGTATCAAAAAGTTCTCGACATACGATTCGTCCAGCTGTTTCCTCTTTGTTATTACTTATATGTTAGAAACGCTGTATCATTGAAGACATAACGTAAGTTGTGACAAATCTTTGTAGAACAAATGTATGTTTGCTATTGGTAATCAAGGTAAGAACTAATTCATCACAAGACAAAATCTTAGCAAAATTATTTCAGGAACAATTTTTTATCCATAGCTTTGACCTTTCACCGGCCTCGCATTATAAACGACATTTCATTAAGGTGATACACATAACAATGTCGGGATTTCCTACGCACTCCATATAGACAGGCAACCTTTACATTCAAAAGATCGTGTAAATAAAAAAAATGAAGGTGAAGGTCGAATTATTCCATAATATTTGTACTGTTTGCAATACCATATTTTAGCCTCCTTATTTTGATTAATGCAGCCAGATAAAAATGTAAATCAGGATCGTTCGAGCAAAATCTAGAGCAGTGGTCGCCAACCTTTTCAGTGTGTTGAGCTACTTTGATAATTTTGGGATAAAAAGTGAGCTACCTAGTCGTAAGCAATGTAAGCCAACTTAAATGAAATTATACACAGTTCTATGCCACATACATGTGTTTATTTCACCAATACACATACTAATAAACTTAAATAAACTAATAACCAATACACACTACATAACTTCATCCATTCCTACCAATCGTAGGTGTTTGAAAAATAAACAAAATTTATCGTCAGCTACAATGGCATGTCACATTCGATTTAATGAATTAAATTAAAGGTAACTAAAAATAAAAAAGCAACGCACTATGTTAAACGATAACTCTGACACTCTGACTCACTGACAATTTTTTTAGTGTTTGGAGTATAATTTGATGCCGCCATTCCAATACAATTTTTGAAATGTTCATCTTTAAGCCGATTACGGAATTTGGTTTTAATAAACTTCATATTTGAAAAAGGAGATTCACACAAATAGGTTGAACTAAAAAACGCTTTCACTTTCAAGACAACACGACATAAAACTGAATATTTATATTTACTTACTAAAGGCCAGATACATTTTGAATTTGAGACTAATGATTTTAGAGCTAAACCATTTTGAAACACGCAATCACTTCCATTTCTGTCGCAACGATGTTTTCGCTAAAGTTCTGGGTAACAGAAGTTGCAAACTGTTGGATATCAATTTCCATGAAGGGTGAAACAACAAATTGCACCACTATTTCAATTTCGTTGAAATCCTTAAAACGATTTTTGAAGTCATCCTTTAATTTAGAGACTATTTCTACATGATGTTTACTGTCATATGCTTCTAATGTACTTTGAGATATCTTTCCTGAAAGAACAGGAAAATGCCTGGTATCGCCCTCGATTAAGTCTTGTTCTAAAACTCAAGCTTTTTGATAAACGCTTTTATATCATAAATTATTTCTGCTGGTTCTTTGTCTCTCTCCTGAAGCTGCAAGTCATTTAATTTTTCTGTAATATCCACAAGTAAACCAAATTCTCTAAGCCAGATTGAATTTTCCAATTCCGGAATCGGTTCATCACGTTGTTTAAAAAATTGAACTGTGGAAGATATTATGATATCATTAAAACGTTTCAGCACTCGTCACTTACTTAACCGTCGGACTTCAGAGTGAAGAAGTAGTTCCCCGTATTGACAGTCAACTTCATCGGCCAAGGTTTTGAATAATCTTTGTAACGCTTGAGCTCTAATCTTGTTCACAATTTTTACTACCAATTTCATAACTTTGTTTAGGTTTAGAAAATGTCCACATAACGCTTGCTGATGGAGAATGCAATGGTAACAGACAAATTGCGGAAAACTATCATCTTTACGACATAATCTCACGAGACCCTTAACACGATCCACCATAGCTGGAGCGCCATCGGTTGTCAAGGCTACCGTTTTCGATATTGGAATTTTCTCAGAAGAAATAATATTTTTAAAAGAAGAAAACAAGTTCTGCCCAGTAGTCTGTCCTTTTAGTGGAATAATCCTGAAAAGATCTTTAATCGTAAAATCACTAAAAACCATCCTGATGAACACGAGAGGTGTCAACGACATCTGTGGATTCATCCAGCTGCAGTGAAAAATAAGCACAGTTATCGAAGTCATTTTTTACAGTTATATCATTGCTCATTACTTCAACTCGTCGCATCACTGTATTAGCAGAAAGTTGCATAGAGTTTATAGCAGACACAATCTCGTCTTTATGTCTTAAGTTGGCAAATAATGAATCTGCAGCTTCTGAAAACGCCTGTTTCATCATTTCCCCGTCTTCATAAGATTTCTTCTTTTGTGTAATTATATTATATTATGGGACACCCGGTATGATGCTTCAGTTGCAGCCTTACTTTTGTCAATTGTTTTTAAAACATTGTATGTTGTCAAATTAACTGATGTTTTGATTGTTTCAGTTTTTCCGTTCTGGTTGCAGAACTTGATGGGAACGATTTTTCAAAAATTCGAATGTAAAGTTTCACAGTGCCTCTCGATACTCGATACATTTTTACATTAAACTTCTGCAAAGAAATATTGTTCTTCTCATTCCGAATGAAAATGGTATGTCTTCATATTCTTACTACTGCTCATAAGGTTTTTTATTGCAGGCCAACTCTAACCCAACCGCTGGACTTTGTGCCGTACAGTTTTAAACTGAGCGCACTATCGCTTTACGTATTTATTCCATGCATAGTAATCAAGATCGTTCTCGAACAGATCGCTCACCGCAGTTTTGCCGCTGCTTGTGTTTATTGTGAGAATTTACAAAATTTACGGAAGCTTCTATGATTTTTACATCTTTTTAACATATGTTATGAGCTACCAGAATTGCCTTTGCGAGCTACCGCTATCTCGCGATCGACGGGTTGGCGACCACTGATCTAGACATATTAAAACATCTGGGCAATTTTGTTATGATTGCGCATCGCCTATGGATAAAAACTATATACAGGGCATAATCGAAGTTTACCTCAAAACTAGAAAGAGCAGATAGACAATGGTTATAGGAACCTGACAAAACTTATTGCATGGTTTATCATTCATCACTGTCATGGTCACTGCTCACGTTTTCAAAAACGCTTAGTGTGATTAGGGTCCTGAACAAATATGATAACATCTGTAATACCCGTTTTATAGACAGCAAGATGCAAGAGAAATGTTGATCAGACGCATGTGCACTGATTCGGCCTGTCATTTTGGAATAGCTGGTAACCTACAAGTTACAAATGCATGCAAATGTACCCAAGCCGGTTCGGTGGTTTGTGTGACTATTTTTCAATGTTTATAGATATACTTTTGACTGTATTTTGATGTTGGATGGTCGGCGATTCAAACTAGTTTTTGATTATTACAGTCATGTGTTCTGAAGTGTGAAAAACAGAAACAGAAACTATAGGTTAGGAATGTTACCGAGTGTGTGAAAAACGATTTTAAAACGTCCAAATCAATGCGCACTGCATCGCATAACTAAGCACTTTAAAACTCCAAGTGTTTTGCAGAACGACAATGCTCTTTCAAGTTCACAATCAAGTCGATTTTTGAAAATACTGTTGAACTTCAAAGACTTCCTCAACAATGAATGCTTCCAAAAGACAGTAACGTATCTTAAATAACAAGAAGCGCTTTAGCGCTTTTCCGGTTTCGATAGATGGCTAAGTTGTGTCAAAGTGCCATCATTTTCCCTGGTCGGAGCCCAGATCCCCAAGGACTTGATCTGGCACGAACACATATCGTCAATCGCAACAGCTGCTAGGAAAAGCTAGTTTTTTTGGCTTAGGACTAAGAAGTACAAAACCTCTTCACTCTATACAAGACCCAGAGCCGGATAAGCCTCGGGTACTGCGCACATATTTGAGGTGCTGCCGCCCCGCCTACCACTGAGCCCTGAATCCACTATCACATATCGAAACATACTTTCATCTTATTTTCAACGTTTTCTTATTTACATTAGCAACAAGATATCTATCTCAGTTCACATTTTATATTGTAATGCACTGTGGATAGTTACTGTCCAACGGCTGCAAGATAAAACGAAGAATATCGTCAAGTATAGAAGCTTCATTAAAGTTTTGGATGCAGGACTAGTAATGAGTGTTAAGCCTCATTTTCTCAAGTTTATATATATATATATATATATATATATATATATATATAAATATGCAAACACTGAAGAAATCTTTATACTAGTCCAAGGATATTTTTACGTTAACCATTTATTGAAGACTATTTGTTTCGAAGATGTTTCTCTCTCATTTCCAGTCTGATATGTCAGTGTTGAACCGGAAATAAGCACTTCCAGCACAGCAAATTGTTCACTGAAGATTAATTGAACTCCGTTGTACTGTGAAAATCCTCCGGTTGAACCTGTGTGAGAATTTTTGCACGAGTGGTTACGACCACTACTAAGGTTATTCAATGCAAATAAGAGATGATTGATACCTAGGTAGGTATGCGAGAAGTGCGTAGTCGTATCTTGCTTTAATGAATATGAGAGAATGCTGCATTGGAATAGGTATTCACATGTATTTTTCTAGAATAAATTAAAAATGTTAAGTATTAGAAACCAGTCGAGCAGTTAACAGATTCTTGAGCATCTAAGTCGCGAAACCCTACCTTCTTAGTTATAGTTCTTATAAGGGCTGTATCGTCAGTCGTTCCTACAATTGCAGGACGCCTTTATGGCCTCCTTCGTTTTCATAGTTTTTTCTGCCCTTCAGAAAGGCAGTGGTATTTCTACTGTTTCGTGTTAGCGTTCTATTTTGAGGTTATGTTACAAATATTTGTTTGCATCAAATTGTGCATGCTTTTGATTTATATAATCCGTTTTACCAGCCGAAAATTTTCTACAATTCCTCACAATAGGAGAGCGCTGACGCTGACATGGAACCGTATAAATCAAGAAATACCCCAGCCTATCAGAGGGAGAGAAAAGACTATAAAAGTCAAGGAGGACATAAACGCATCCTACAATTGACGATACGGCCCTACGGACACATCAAATGTCAAAATTCCTTGACCCGTTTGGGCTGTACCAGGTGTTATATAAATTTCAAACTTAAAATTTTCGATCGAAATCTGCCATTTTGATTTTATAAAATTTTTATATACCCAGTGTCACTCGCGGTGCTAAGGCGAATATAACATTTTATGTTGAAATCCATCATGCCGATTGCCCGTGAAATAGAAATACCTATTCGTGTCCACATATTTATACAGGGTGTCCCAGAAGTAAGACGCGAGAATTACACGGGAGGTAGATTGGCTTCAGATCAAGTAGATAAAATCAACATGACCTTAGTAAAACTTTTCTATTTCTCGAGATATTGCCACGTTTAAGTTTTTTCAAAAAATCACTACTTTTTGCTCCTTTTTGCCCCTTATGACTATAAGGAACTTCTAACGTATGATGTATGGGCTACCATAATAGTTGATTGAGACAACCGAGTATTCATTTCATTGAAAACTAGCACGGAATGCTAAAAAAACTAAATTATTACATTTGGTTTCAATGCAAAAACCTTTACTAAAGTTTTACTAATTACCTTGAAAAAATATACCAGACTGAATCAGAAAATGACCTAATTAGTTATTTAATGCTCTTTCAAGGATAGTATAATATTTGTAGATTATTTTTACTTCAAACTGAATAATTCCAAGTTTTGTCATTGAAGTCCTAATACTTGCGAAATACTACAAATAAAAAATCTTACGTGTCCAAATTACAACTGTTTAGTTGCTGTAATCGCTTTTTATTTTAGCTAATGTATAAAAAACAGCTATCCATTGTCCTTTTCTATTAATTGTTGTATGCACGCATCAAAATAATGAATAGAACATTAGGTTGTATTTTTTTTTTATTTCCATTGATTTTTACAAAATTCAGGTGGTACCTACGCACCGCAATTACAGCAACTACAAAGTTTCAATTTAGACACAAAAGACAGCTACATTTATTATTTTTTATTTGTAGTATTTCGCAAGTATTACGACTTCAATGACAAAACTTGGATTTATTCAGTTTTTTGTAAAAACAATCTGCAAATGTATACTATTTTGGAAAGAGCATTCAATAGCTAATTTTTAAGATAATTTGCTAATTCAACCTGGTACAATTTTTTCATAGAAATTAGTAAAACTTTAGTAGAGGTTTTCGCATTGAAACCAAATGTAATAATTTGTTTTTTTTAGCATACCGTGCTAGTTTGCAATGAAATAAATACTCGGTTGTCTCAACCAACTATTAATGGTAGCCCAGGAAAAAATCATAAGTTAGAAGTTCTTTATAGCCATAGCAGGCATAAAAGGAGCAAAAAGTAGAGATTTTTAAAATAAACTTAAAACTGGCAATATCTCGAAAAGTCGAAAACTTTTGGTTATGTTGATTTTATCTGATTGATCTGAACCCAATCTACCTCCCGCGCCACTCTTTCGTGTTAATTCTGGGACGATCTGTATACGTGCATAAGCGCGGGAAACAGTCAGTCGGGTAAAATGAGACACAGTGACTAAACAACTCAAAATTTTTATGGATTACTCCAATAATCCATGAACGTAGAAACATTCTACTCTAAGAAGTTGTCTAATCCTCTTTGCCTTCTCTTTTCTTATCCCATCATTTGCTCAATTCTCTTTGAACTCGGTTGACGTAAACGACAGATTTATGAAATAGCATAAAAACAAAAGACCCAAGTCTTATGGACCATTCTGACATCAATAACTTGACAAATTAGAAATATACTAAGGGACAATACTGCGCATTGAGGAAACACAATTGTGCCAATTTGTAACCAAATAAAAAATGTTGTATCAGACACTGATTAACAAATCAAATGTGATATCAAACTCACAGCGATATTAAGCGTCGGATCGCTTTTGTCTCCTAAACGAATCCATTGTTTTTACAAAGCAACAACGAGTATAAGAGTAACATAACAGCCATGCTCTGGTCTCAAATTAATCCATGTTCTATTGGAATATCAATTATTACTCTTATACTTTCAGTCTTAAGGAGGCAAACTCACCAACAATAGTGTAGCAACATGGAGTTATCCTAATCCGAACTGCCATGTTTGTTTTTTCGTACCTGCAAATAAAAACAAAATTGAATACATGCTCGGCAAAACTCAGCATTTATTTTTTTACTTCCTATGCCAATTAGGGAGGAAGTATTGTAATCGTGAAACATTTTAAAATCGAGATAAGTTTCTGGATGTTTCATCACTACGAAAAAACATATAACTCATTTACTATCTGTCTGCCATCTGGACGGAAACAACTGCTCGGATTTTGATAAAATTTGGACCAAAAATTTCTAGCGTATGAGCCGGATATCTATCAAGCTTTGGCAAACTATGTGTATGTGACAGTTGACACTGCTGTCACGTCTTCACACAAGATTACTACGATACCAAGGCCGGAGTTACGAACGAAAACGAAAAAAATTTAATTAACCTGAAAATCTCGATAATATATTGTGTTTTAGATATTTTTAGTCTGGAATCATTATTGAACGATATGTCAGCATGTTCACTCCCTCAAAGACCCAATTACATTTTTAATAAAAATCCTTGGATTTCCAAATGAAGAAACTTAGTTGAAATACTACTCTTGCTCCATTCTCTGGTCCATGCCTCGCAAATCGTGACATTCAAGTGCAACGTCCATGCCCAGCCATATCCTTCCGTGAATCTGTACAAGGCCTACTTTTCAACCGAAGTCTTTGTTACATGGTACTAATAAGATTTAAATGTCACCGTTGTTTCTTCTACGCAGAGATTACTAATTGAACTGGGCGGCGTCCGACTTTTTCTTTCAACGGATGCACAGGAGATTCTCATAAATAATATACTTATCAAAAATAAGCAAACGGTATCATTTTTTCATGAAGGGCTTCACTATCCTTTAAATATTTCCATACGGAAACATTTTTTAAAGTTCATTTTAAGGACAGCTGTGTAAAAGTTTGTTTTTCATTTTATGTACTTTTTACTGTTAAGTATTTAAGATATCAAATAACTAGTTTGGTAATTACTCTATAACTTCCATATTATGTTTAATGGGGCTCCATAAAACTTCTTACTTTATTTGTATTATAAAAGTTTGATAGATACTCGTATAATCATATAATGATAAATTGACATTTTGCGGCGATTGTCATATGGAATTCAAAATGGCGTTATTTGCTAATCGCTAAATCGCCATTAAACGATGTGTGCCATATTGGATTTAGAGTGATATCGCATTGCTTTTTAGCTTTCTCTAATAAAGCCATTTGATTTGATAACTATATCATAGAGGTGACTATGATAACACTGGTGAACAAAATTAAAATAATTTTTTGCGACATGGACAAAACAAGGTGATTATTATGTAAAATGTACCCAAAAATCCGGAAATAGCATTCGATTCAGTCACGGTTTTCTTGTAATAAGGCGTTTTATTTGCTGCTTATACTCGTAAAAAATAAGGATATGTGTGTAAGATTACTAATAAATGCTCGAATAAACATTAATCTTCATTAACAATGTCCAGCAATAATCAGCAAGCAAATTGACACTCCATTTGCCTTGATACCATTTTTCCATAGCAGAAATGTCTTGGTGGAACCGTTCACCATGTTCATCACTTACCATACCTAAATTTTGCGGAAAAAAATCTAGATGAAAATCCAACAAGTGAATTTTTAGAGACACTCACGATATCTTTATAATTGTCCGCTAGTAATTCAGTTTCATTTAGAGCACTGTCAAATGCATTATTCTTCATGATTTTCCGTATTTGTGGACCCACAAATATGCCCTCTTCAGTAAGTCTCGGAAATGTTTGTTTTAAATGCAGAAACCCTCTTCCATTTCGATCCATAATAGCCTTTACAAAATTTTTCAGTCCCAACTTAATATGCAAAGGTGCAAGCAATACTTTTTTGGGATCAACTAGTGCTTCATGAGCAATGTTTTTGAGGCCCGGAGTTAATACCTGACGGAGTGGCCACTCCTGTTTATAATGACGATCTCGCGCCCGACTCTCCCATTCACAAAGAAAACAACAATAATTTGTTTATCCCAGTTGCATTCCAAGAAGAAGGGCTACTACCTTTAAATCTGCACACTGCTTACTGGGCTTCTCTCATCAAGTTCTTTCATTTGATCCCATGTAGTTGGGTTTACTATGAAATATTTTGCGACCGTCGCCGTATTGGATTTAGAATAAAGTCAGTTTGCTTAATCTGTTTCTTTCGTTTCGTTTCATTTGATACCTATATGATAAGGATTACATTGGAAATAATGAATCGCCATTGTTTAGAACCCGCCATACTGGATTCAAAATGGTGGCAGTTCGGAAATAGAACAAAGTAATCCTGAAACGTCAAAGGTAAGCTTTTCTTCCCGTGCTCGAAACCTTGGGAATAAGAGTGTAGTCACTTGTCATTCTTATAGTTCATTGTTTTGTTTGTTTACTATATTTGGTTATCAAAAAGTGTTCAAACTGAGAGAATATATATTTTTCACGATAAATGGGCTACTTCGTAACCATAGCGCCTCTGATAATAAATACAGCGGTTGCAGAAAACGTGGTTAGAAATTAGTCGGTTGTCAGCAAGTGTCATTACACGACTGTAATAATTCAGGCGTTAAAGAAAGTTTCACAGTATTCCAAAGTTAAATTTCATCTGTCAATTTACAGTCCATTACTGTGTAAAAAAACCTATAAAACGTCAAAAAAACCTATATGATGTCAACTTGCAGACTAGGTAGTTTTTAGGGCGCAAACAGTCATTCCACGTTTGCTCACTAGGATCGTTGTGAACGTCCATCTATGGAGGAATCACTCAACTAAACTACGCATTATTGGTTGCATAGTTTTTATCTCTGAGAATTAAGTTGGTTGAATAGCAAGATCGCATCGGGATGATTATGTGTATTGGTCTGCATGTGTATAAAATCTGTGATATTTGCTGTGTGAGAAAATCATTACTGAATATGCCGAATATGACGGGTTATTTATATGTTGTGCTTTCTGAAGAGAGGTTATGTTCAAAGTTATAAATTAAGAAAAACTGAGGAGAATTACCGGAAATCATCACCGCGCCCGCGTTGTGTGTAATTACGGTTAGCATGTATATGGATTGTAATTCGACAGCGTACAGTGAATATAATTATTTATCTCTCTCATTTTTGAAATTCAGCAAATTTGTATAAGTAATTTCCAGAATGGATTAGAAAAAGTAGATGCGCAACTATTTTATAGCTTTGAATCTAAAATTAAGTGTATTTGAGACAAGAAATCATCAACACATACAACTTACAGCTTGGACCTCCAGTAATGTCATCTCAGAAGCAGATTTTACATCACACCATCATAGCCAAAGATTGATAACAAGCCTCATGACGTATAGGCAATACGTACAACTAAGTGCTAAGTTAATATCTTGTAGAATAACTTACTTAATGTCAAAAATAACCAGCATAATGTCGAAAAAAATCGGCATAATGTCACTTTTCAAGATACGTGATACCCGTGCGGTTCAACACATAGAAAATGAAAATATGAGACTTTTTTGTGCGTAGTAACAAATTAAAGTATTTTCATTAGTACCTACTTACCTTGTTTTCATTTCAAACTAATTAAAAAGTAGTTAGGATAAGACAAAAATGACGATAGTATTAATTAGTGTGTGTAGCATTGCAACTATTTTTACCGGTCCTTGGCAAAGGACTACATTCTTGCTCGTGTTATCTTTGTTATTTTTATAAAGCATGCACATTGTTTTTTCAACAGCCTGCTGTTGCTGAACAATACTTGCCAGTGCGCTAAGCTAGCAGCTTACAGGGCATAAAGATTGCTAACGCATTGGCTGTCTAAGATAGCCCCTTATAAATTTGAAGGTTTCTCCTCACTACAATATCTGACGCACCATTGTTCCGCTTTCTCCAGAGATGAGCCTAATAGCCTAATCTTATTAGACGAAAATACCCCTGGTTTGAGAAATAATTGTAAAGTCTGGTTTTATTGCTGCAAGTTGTTCAAGGGGGTATTCAAAACATGGACGCATAAGATGGGTACATCAATTTTTGTGGGAAAACTTTTTATTCGACAACAAAGAATAATAAAACGTGTTTTTTGGGATTCAATCGAAAGTGGGAGGAACGTAAAAAGATCCGACTAATAGAAAAATGTTATGGTCGAAAAACGAGGCAAAATGCAAGTTTTGGCACTTGTTGTTTTAGGTATATATGAGACCTACAAAATGAGACCACAAGTAAAAAGATCCGACTAATTGCAACAAAGTTATAACCGAAAACCGAAATTCGTAGGATTCGTACTTCTAAATAACCACAACAAAATTGGAGTAGATTGGTCAAGTAGTTTTTGATTTATAATTGTTTATCCCATAACACCTGTTTTACGGCCATCACTACTAGCTTATTGAGCAATATACAGGGTTAGTTCGAAGGGACTTTATAGCAAAGTACACTAGTTTACGTTGCCGATACGAATCGCAAACCATTCCCGAAGATAAATGTTATTTCTATGCAAAAAGGATGTCACGTTTTTTCTTCTAAACAAATTCAAACATGTCGTACTAGTGAGTAATTCGCAACAAAATATGTTAGACCCATCTGCTTTGTATTAAAATGTGTATGGTAACGTATGTTTTTCGAATATCGTGGCGCATTTGTTCAATTATTCACAAATTTTTGAATTTGTTTAGTAGAAAAAACGTAACCTTTGTTTTTCGCATAAAAATAACATTTATCTTTTGAAATGGTTTGCGATTCATATCGGCAAGGTAAACACGTGTATTTAGCTATTAAATGCTCCTTGAACGAACCCTGTATATTGCTCAATAAACTAGTAGTAATTGCCGGAAAACAGGTGTTTTGGGATAAACAGAGATTCTAAAAAAACAGCTTGACCAATATACTCGTAATCCAATTTTGTTGTTGTTATTTCGAAGTATGAGTCCTACGGATTTGAAGAATTTCAAGTAGTTGCGTGAAAGTATCGTCGCATGCCAAAACCTGCATTTTAGTCGCACCATTTTATATGTGGTCTCATTTTGTTGGTCTCATAAATACCTAA